AAATCCTGAAATCAACCAATTGTGAATGGAACTTCAGAATTTTATCTTGCTGTTTCAATGCAGATACATTTGCGTGTGCATGTTCGCCAAGTATGCCGCCACCGAACTAATCATCCTTTCAGTAAGTATATATTGAAATCACATATTTGCTTTCATACGGGCAAAGTGACCCAGAAACGTGCTTATCATAGCAACTGATATGCTTATCATAGCAGCTGATATTGATGAAATTGACTCTGAGGCATGTCGAAGCTCTTGCGGCAATTTTTACGAGGATACATTTTTGACGATTCATTTCAGGAATTTTTACAAAATTATTGTATATGGATGAAATTGTATAGGAAATTGGAATTTGTGTATGGATGAAACTCGAATGAGCAGAACTGCTGACGTGGACTATGTCAGGTTGATGAAAAAGATCCTCTATGGACTAAATGAGTGTTACAGTGGTGATATTTTCTTCGACTGTAAAGTGCGAAATTAGCTTAAATGTAAGCAATGCCCCATGGAATGTTCAGATTTTGATCGGAATGAGTGTCACAATCGGGAAGTTAGATGGATACGTTTGGCTGAGAGGGAATGAATGGCTTTTGCTCCATCGATGAGATCATCATCGGATAGGAGATGTTCTGCTTACCTGACATCTTCTTCGCCCAAATCGGTGGCATTAACTCAAGGAAGAAGTGGTCAGCTCGTTCGTATTGTTCCGTATCAACCACACCGATGTCGATGAACGCTCTGCAATGCGAAATGCACTTGGGTCAATATTACGGATCAAATAGAATCAAAGGATGTAAATATCGGATATAATTCTTGAACGTTGCTGAACGATACCTGCGTGGACCTTTTCAAATGAATCATTGGTTGTCTCACTTCATTCATCTTTGATAATGTTTATCTAACATGACGGATATAAGTAAGCCTATAAACTCGTGAACACTCACGAGGAACCGATTGTTTCTGTTCCAAAAGGTTAGTTCAAGCTTGCCATAACGATTTTTCGTGTAAATCAGTTTTTCAGCACTCAAGTCTGGCCCGATGAGGCTTCAAAAGCTGGATCATTTGATTGCCCTACGTGTTGTTCTATGGGACGAAATGGAAAAAGTTTTCGTCAAAACATGACCATTC